GCCTATTCTGACTACGTACCAGACCACCCCATACCAACCCGAAGGCCCGCATTCGACCCGAAATTCGGGTTGAGGGGGTGCGGATCCCATGTGTTTTTGCAAGTTTCCCCGACCCCCCCCCACTGGAAATGGAGGGCACCTTGAAGCCTTCGGGTTGGGTTGGGGCGCTGTGGTGGGTGGTGATTTCCTTGCTCTAGCTGACGGGCTGGGTCCGCCACGTGCCTCCGGCTCCCTCCCCGCCTCCCTCGAGGGAAGCAAAAACCGCCCAGGCCCCGACCACTGGCGATTACGGAACGGCCCTGGGCGCCTCCTGCACAACCCTGCCCTGTTCGACGCTTTCCTTTGGGCGCGTTTACGAAGCGGCTTCGCTTGTCGGGGCGCTTACGATGGGGGTGGACCTTCTGCTCTGCGGTTAGGTCGGGCATGTCCTCCTACAGGCGGATTCTTGGGTGCGCTTGCGGTGAATATCGTTTAACCGATTCCCATCCCCAGCGGTGTGGCCTGGGCCCCACTGGCCGATCTACCCCCCTAGATGGGGATATAGTCCGTTCCCTTCGGGTTTCGCCTGGTGCATCCCCAACTGGGGTGGCAATTTGGTGGGAGTCTCGAAGGGGATGGGGATGGGGATGGGGATCGGTTAAAAGACATCGATACTAAAAGGCTGCGTTTGTCGGCGTGCTTACGATGGGGGTGGACGTTTTGCTCTACGTTTCGGTCGGGCACGTCCTCCTGCAGGCGAATTTTGGATGCAATGTTTTTTTGTTTTTACTTGGGTGCGTTTACTATGGGTACCGTTAACCGATCCCCATTCCCAGCGGTGTGACCTGGGCCCCTCTGGCCGATATACCCCCTAGATGGGGGTATACGGCGTTCCCTTCGGGTTTCGGCTGGTGCATCCTCAACTGGCAGGGGTGGTAATTTGGCGGGGGTCTCGAAAGGGATGGGGATGGGGATCGGTTAAACGATACCGAAACTAAAAGGTAGCTACTCGCAACTGGCCTCGAACCACCGCGGAGGATCTGCGATACACTACATCGGAGCAGACATGTGTTTTTTCCGGGCGTTTGCGAGTAGGCACTTTGGCGAGTAGTGGAACGCGCTCGGTAAGCGGGCACGCGCGCCTCGCCGCACGCGCCGGGATCCCTGAGAGCCGACGCTGCGGTTCTGTTGCCCCCATCGTATTTCAGGACCAAAAATCCCTGAATGATTCCGAACACCCAGAAAATATGGAAAACAGTGTCGAACGAGAATCGCCTCCGAGGGCCCGGTACTTGAAAACCCTCCAGTTTCGGCCATGTCCTGGCGCTCGAAATTTCTCCTGGCAGTCAAGGCTAAAGTAGACTGGAACATCATCACGTTGCGGAGACAGAGGCAGCACCGCGGAAAATCGCGACCAGAACCGCACCCCATCTTTTTGCCAACTGGAGCCCCCCCAAGAGCCGCGACGATTTCAAAATGGGAAAATGTCCAACATGTTGCTTTCAAGCTGGACCGCGGGGAATCATCATGGAACGCCCGCGCGCCATCGAATCGCCGCGCGCCACCTGCCCCAGCCATTGAATCACGCCGGGCGAACCGCGGAGTCGCGACCAACGCGGCCCCCGAGCCAGGCCGCCGCGTGACCGCCATGGAACTCATCGCCGCGATGATGCTTCATTCCGCAATCGTCGGGCACAGCGTGCGCGCGACTTTGGGCGCGAGCCGCAGTCGATGCGCAGGCGGAATCGGCGCGCGCGCAGCCGTCGAAAGGCAAGGTGCTGCCCCGGCCGCGCGGCCGATAGCTTGCGCGGGAGACACACCTCCCAAGCTGATTTATGATCCCTGCCAGCATCCCTGAAATCCGACTTTGCGGAAAACATGGCAGCACCGCAGGAAATCGAGACCGGAGCCCAAGACCCAATCAGCAGCAGCATCATCATCACCACCATCATAAATAATCATCTGATTGATCAGAATCATCATCATCATCATCATCATCATCATCATCATCATCATCATCATCATCATCATCATCATCATCATCAGCATCAGCATCAGCATCAGCATCAGCATCAGCATCAGCATCATCATCATCATCATCATCATCATCATCATCATCGTCAGCAGCAACATCATCATCAGCATCATCAGCATCATCTCATCATCATCACCACCATCATCATACCTATACTCATCATCATCATCATCATCATCAGCAGCAGCAGCAGCATCAGCATCAGCATCAGCATCATTATCATCATCATCATCATCATCATCATCATCATCATCAGCAGCAGCAGCAGCATCAGCATCAGCATCAGCATCATTATCATCATCATCATCATCATCATCATCATCATCCTCAACCGAATCATCATCCCCATCATTACCAGCATCCGCATCAGCATCAGCGTCAGCATCATCGTCATCAGCATCAACAGCATCATCACTCCCATCATCCTCATAACAATTCTCATCATCCTCATCACGGCTCCTCCAAGCCTGGAGACACGATGAGTCACATTTGACAGCTCCCCGTGCTTCCTCGAACAGTCGCTTGCCGGAGGGCTGGGCTGGCATGGTGGCGGGACTTGCCGCAGGCAGCTGGATAACGTTCGCCTGGCGTGATGTCCGGGAAACCCTCTCCCCCAACGCAAGCAGACTTGCCAAATTCTGATCACGAGCAATCGCCGAGTTGGCAGGCACAGAGAGGGCCCTGGGGGAGAAGGATCCTGGACCCCAGGGCCTTCCCCTGGGGCCAGCTCAGCTAGCTCTTCATCCCAAATCGTTGAAGGGCCCCAGGGACGACAAGCAAATAAACACACACACACACAGCCAAAGGTCCCCCATATCTTCCTATGTTTTCTGGGTGTTCGTCCTCCCCCCACTTCCCATGTTTTCCCATATCTTCCAGAGAATCGACGATGAATTGTGTCTGTGTGCTTTCTCCTCTCGAATCGTGGCTGTTCAGTGTTCAGCCCCCCCAGGCCCGAGGAATGTCGCAGAGAGCCCGAATGCAGCGATAGACCTCTGCCTCACGGGGAGGAGCCAGAGGCGTGCCAGGCCGCTCGACCAGCGTGCGTTGCCCGTGCGGGACTCGTCTCAGCATGCACTGGGGCTGGCCTGGCATTCTTCGTTTGTCGGCAGCGAGGGCGGAGCCCAACGCATTCGAGAGCTGGCGGGCATCGACGGACCAGCTGTCCTGAACAGACAGGGGACTGTGTTGTTGTTACTCCTGGGGGTACGCGCGTCAGAAAAGGAGTCCCCCGGCACAAGCTTCTGGCATGCACTGGTGAACGTTTTCTTGTTCGGCGTTTCGACCTTGGGCGGAACGGGGAGGGAAGATGGAGGCCTGACTCCACACAGTGCGTGCTATGGGGGAGACCCCACCTGGTCGAAACAAGCGCCCAAAATAACCAAGATCTACTCCGAGGGGTGGGGGGAGGGGGGTGCGAGGGCCCGCGCCGATTGGCAAATCCATGCATAAGAAGACGAACACCTGGAGCTGGCCTGACATGTTTTGTTTGTCAGCATCAAGGGTGGACGCCCACGCGTTCGAAAGCTGGCGGGCATCGCCGGAACTGGGGCATGCAATTACTCCTGGGGCATGCAATCTTCCAGCACAAACTTCTAGAATGCCCATATGAATATACGTGTGTGCACACACCTACACCTGTCTAACGTGTGAACAACAAGACCTAACATACTCTCACGGTGCCCGTGCACCTAAAACGAGAGGGAAGAAGCAGCAACCAGAAGCACAACGAGGTGCGGAAGGCTTCAGGAGGTGCTCGCTTCCTCGTCCATCGTGGACGCCGCGTCCATCCAGGACCTTCAGAATCCACTGGCATCCAAAAGGCAAATACCTCCGAGTCAACTGTCGAGCATCTGAGATAAACGCCAGGAGAACCTCTGGCCTCCTCCCCGCCAAGCGACACTCCGCCCCACCCGTCGACAATGCGGACAATGACCTGGACCACCTCAACGACGAGGGCGACGGCGATCCTCGAGGAAGCACTCCGGATTCAGAAGTCGTGCCTAAACCGCAACGCCGTGAGAGAAGTCTTTTCGAAATCTAGACTGAGGTAGGGCATGTCTTCCTGCAGGCGGATGTTGGAAGAAAAATGACATTTGCCAAGAAAATGCTCAACAATAATCGTACAGTAATCATAACATCGTCCCAAGACTTTTTGATTTAGTTACAATTATTGGATGTTCCTCCAATAAGGACATGCCCGACGTAAATCTAGAACTCTCGACCCCATCATTCCGCGGCCCTTCTCCGAGCCAAGTCGATCCGCACGGGCGGACCTGAGGCCCGAAACGACGCGGGAATGCCCGTCGTTTTTTTCCTTGGGACGCCTGGATCTGATGCCCCCCTCCTCCTCAGACATCTGGGAAGCCCCAGACGCCCGCAGAGGTCCTCAGACGTCCCTGGGAGTCCTCTGACATCCCAGAAAGGGGGCGAAAATAAGAAGTCAGGACGAGGATGAATTCGGGTGAGGATAAATCGAGAATCTCAGAGATCCCGCAGCTTTGGAGGATGTCTCGGGCGCAGCGGCCTTCTCACAGCGTTCCGGAACGCTCTGGGAGCGTCTGGCAGCGTGCCAGAACCCTCTGGAACGTATTTATCCTCGTCCTGGCCCCGCCCGAGAAAACGTACAAAGAGCAGCCCGAAAATCATCCCACGACCCCGGGATAGTGGAACCCCACCGAACGCCGCAGAATCCCCAACACGACCCCTCCAGAACCGCCTCGAATCAAGCCCTGCTCGGACCCTCCGTTTCTCGTCTCCCTTGGAGGAGGCGGAGGAGGAGGAGGAGGAGGAGGAGGAGGAGGAGGAGGGGGAGGAGGAGGGGGAGGCGAAGGAGAAGGGGGAGTGAGACGGTGCAAAAAAGGAGGAGGAGGAGGAGGAGGATGAGGAGAAGGAGCAGGAGGAGGAAGAGGACGAGGAAAAGGATGAAAGCTCTGTACATGGCACGCCCTCCCTCCGGCCCTTGCCCTCCGAGGGGGTGGCACTCCGCCGTGTCCATCGAGGACACCGCGTCCCCCGCGACCACCGCCACCGCGCGGCAGCGCTCCTCCCGCACCATGCGCGCAGCGAGCAGCAGGCCGCTCACCTCGCTGCGCCGGAACAATCGACGTCGCTGACCTCGCCAACGTCGTCGCCGTCGTCGTGGTCATCGTCGTCGTGGTCATCGTTGTCGTCGTCTTCCTCGTGGTCATCATCGTCGTCGTCGTGCTCGTTGTCGTCGTCGTCGTCGTCGTTGTCGTCGTCGTTGTTCTCCTGGTCGTTGTTGTTTTGGGTGGCGGCATCCTTGTCGTTGTCATCGTTGACGTCGTTATCGTCGACGGCGGGGGCATCGTCGTCCTCGTCGTGGGCGGCGTCGGCGTCGGTTCGGCGGCGGCCTCGGCGGTGCCGTCCCTGGCATCTTCGCCGTAGGAGGCTGCCCCCTCCTTCGCAACCTTCCCCTCTGTTTCGGTTCCCTGCCCTCCCCCTGCTCCTGCCCCCCCCCCTTCCCGCCACCGCCAACATGCTCCGTCGTCCTCTCCTCCGCGGCGAATCCCGAAACATTCCCGCGCCGTCAGCTTCTAGGCTGCGGACGAGTTTCTAGAAATGGCTCCCGCCCCCCGCCCCTCACCACGAACAAATTTGGAAAAAGAAGAAAGTGGAGAAAAAAAGAAACAAAAACGTGTCGTCGATTTCCAGGCTGCGGAAGAATTTCTCGAAATGGTGCCCGCACCTCCCGCCCCTCTCCGCAAAAAAATCAGGAAAAAAACACAACGCGCCGTCCGTTCCCAGGCTGCAGAGGAGCTTCTCGACGCTGTGCCCGCCCCCCGCCCCCCTCCCCGCGAGGAGTTTCAAGCAACTCCCGCGCCGTCGGTCTCCAGGCCTCGGGCGCGCTTCTGGAGCGGCGCCCCCTCCCTTCCTGCTCGCCCCCGCAGCCAAACGCCAATGCTCCTCGACATGGCGGGCCCGCCCTCCCGCAAGCCAAACTCCGCCGCCCACCTTCCGCGCGGCGAGCTTAGGGAAACGCCCGCATCGTCAGGTTTCGAGCTGCGGGGAAGTCCCTCGACATCGCGCGAGCCCCTCGCCCCCCCCTCGCCCCCTCCGCCGCGGAAGCGGGCTTGCCGCGGGCTTGCCGAGGTCGCCACCGCGGAATAGTTCCCGACCAACAGCCCTTGCCCAGTCATCTTGCATGCGCAGCTGGGCTTGTTCCCCAGGGATGGCGGGCACAAAACCACCATGGGACTTATGGGCCACATGACCCCGCCTGTCCACCGAACGCACATTCTTCCACGCATGGAGCCCATCTCCGGGTCACAGGGCATAGCGAGACGCCGCTGCCACGGACAAAATGCCGCGTGGCTGGTTCTACGGACGAGAGCCGGACGGTGTGTCCCCAGCCGCCGAACGCAATACACTCTGTCCGTGTGCCCCAAGGAGCGCGTGGCGCTGACGCCATGACAAAAGATGCCAGGGCCCCACCCACGGTTGGAGGAGGAGGGAGCAGAGGGGGAGAAGGAGGATTCTATAGATGTGTTCATACATGGATTGATCGGTTGATGGATGTATATATGGATATGATGATAGGTTGATGCGTCGATATATATATATATATGTATATACAGGTTGTATAAATATGGGTCGATGATATATTGGTAGACTGAACTATATACATGCTGTTCGATATATAGTTTGAGAAGTAGATGTATACACAGGTTGGATGTGTTGATCGACCTGTAGATTGGTAGCTTGATATAGCTATATATATATATATTAAAATACATTGGAAGATTGTGATGGGTGTATTGACAAATGGGTAGATCTAGACATATATTGAGATGTGTATAACAATAGACGGATTTATTGGTTGATGGATCGACGTAAACATACATACATATCTATATATATATGTACGTATATCTATATTGAAGATACGGGGTCTCTGTGGCGCACCTGGCACGGTGGGGCGCGACGCTGGAGGCGCTCGTGCGAGCGCACGAAGACCATCTGAAGCAGGCGACTCGCGCATTGGAGCAGCGGGAGCCGTCTGACATCGAGATCTCCGACCTGCGGGCAGTGTTCGCCATCAACGGCGTGGCGCCAATATTTGATAGCGTTGCGACACACTGCGCGGAGAAGTCCGGTCGCAAGGGCGTCGGGTTGTGGGCATTCGTAGCCTCGTTCAGCGCTGAGAGGAAAGAGGAGACCAAAAAACACGAGCCGAAGGAGGGCCCGAGCGAAGCGGGCGACGCGTCGGTGACCAGGCTTTGCCAATCATCGGCGCACTCGGACACTCGTGGCTCCAAATGCCGATCGGCGCAAACTCCAACTCAGCCTGGCGAGGCTGTCGCGACGCAGCGCGAAGACACTCGGAGCGAAGACTGCGCAGCGCGGACCATGCAGGAAATCGGCTTCCCAGCTGATGGCATCGCCCGCGCGCTGGAGAGCGCGTCATCCTCATTCGGCAAGACGCTCCTGCTTCTACTGAATGGCATCGACGACAAGCGCCACAA